TGGGACTTAATGCAGTCTGATCAAATAGACAAGACAGAAAAGAGCCTCTTTAAAAGCCATTCTGGGAAGCTTTTTAAAGACCTTGCTGAAAAGTTTTCTATGTATAAGACAAACTTGGTAGTGGGAAGCCTGTTCCCCTGTTATGAAGTACCTGGGAGCTAAGGCTGATTAAAAAATACAATGTGAGAAGAGAGCATATAGATTTTTATCTTTAGGGCTATATCATCTAGAAAAGATATACCACGCACAGAGAGCCAATCAACTAAAATACTATTTCGAAGTTTAATTTTGCTCCATTTCCTCCATGGAATATATGTCCTAATACTGAAGATGAGTAGTGGGGATGGGGAACATTGAAAGTACTCTTGTAATTCTCCAAAACTGTTATATTATAGATACACATTTAAGGGAGCAAGTCACTCACTGTCCCATTGAAAGACCAGTTCTCTAATGTTGAAATGGTTATTTCAAAAAGAGTATGAAGGAGAAAACATGAAGCATTAACAGGAACTCCAGCCCTACAACATTCCTATATAATTCGGTTTCCTCTGGGTGCTGCACACTGAAGACTCTCCAATCAACAGAGTCCGTTTTCTGAAGATTAATGAATGCCAATTATTCACTTCAGTCTCTACCCACCCTCACCACCTTCTGCTAACCCAAATCAAAATTTCTTCATTGTATTAAGAGTGGGAGTCAGACTTTTTAAGACAAAAAGTTGAATCTGATAACTCAAAAACTATTCCCCCTTTATTCTAGGGGAAAAGGACTCTGAGGGGAAAAAAACAAAAACATTTTGCTATTCATAGCCTTTTGTCTCTTCTGATTCTGTCAGATGACATCTTCTGGAAAGAAACGAATAGTGATGCCTTTCTTAAAACTGCTAAGTAGTCTCTCCAAATGCAAGATAAGCCTTCTGTTACACTAATTTGCACTCTCTAGTAGGAAAAGAGCATCTTTTAACTATTAGGGATGGAGAGGTAAACATCAGCTTTTTAAAAAATGAGATATTAACTTGTTCTAACTCTGAAGCCTGACACAAGAATGTCATTTTCTATGAAACGTTTTTCCACTTGGACCATCTCCTGCCATACTTCTTCAGCTTTACAGTGCTGTCACTGAAAAGTACAGCACTCATCTGAGGACAGAGGTTTCTCTGATTTCTGCTTGTATTGTTCTTTGGTTTGAGTCAAAGTAATATCTGTGGACCAGGTTCATCAACTATAAAAGATTATTTTTAGCCAGGCAGGGTGGCACACTCCTGTAATCCCAGAGGCTCAAGAAGCTGAGGCAGGAGGATCAAAAGTTCAAATCCAGCCTCAGCAACTCCCTGTCTCTAAATAAAATATAAAATGGGCTGGGGATGTGGCTTAGTGGGTAAGTGCCCCAGGATTCAATACCTGGTACCAAAAAAAAAAATTACTTTTAGTGCAACACTTATATTTCATTTAAGTTATTAATTTACCCAAACAGCAGCCATGGTAAAATAAGATCATTAAAATGACAGAGTTTTAAATGACACAGTTGGAGAATGAAGTATTCCATAAGTGAATTTTCCACAGAACCAAAATTTACCCTTGTATTATATGAAGTTTTTAAGTGTTAAATTAACCATAAAATGAGCGGTAGAATCAGAGTTAAGCCAAAGCTGAAAAAGAACCACCACCAAATCATTAGTTTCCCACACACTTTAATGACTCTCAGAAGTTATCTCCCCTAAGGGTAGAATCCCACTAATAACTGCCTCACTTTGACTTGGCTCCTTCAAATGGGTCCAGCATAAGATGGCATGACCAGAGCCTTGCGGCTGTACCCCCAGGATTATAAAAAGAAAGATTTCATCCATTCTGGAATCTCTTTCTCTGTTAGAAAAACACATCCAATTTAAATGAAAGGTCAGGGGTGAGTAGATTGTGCTTCAAGTAAGTTTTGAATACAATTGCCATCTAGATTTTGCAGTCTACAAAATTCTTCTTTAAGTGAATAAATGTGTAGGGCAACTCTCCATTTACCTTGATCAGCATCTAACACCAACCTGACACTTAGAATTAAATTAGAGAAACAAAACTGGATACTTTGAGACTTGAGGGCTGATTATACTACTAGCTAAGAGTGGATTTAAACTCTTCTCTTATCCCACTTAAATCTAACTAGGTATAAACCCTCCATTTCTGAGGAATAGAGGTGTGTCTGCAGAAGTGGAGGTTCCCCTTGATGTTCTCGGACAAGGAAACCTAATCCTTTTTTTTCTGACACACATGGTTGCAATAGAAACTGTTCCTCAATTGCTAGTCTGGTTTTAATCTGTTGCTTCTAGTGAGGGAGGATTTGCAGAGAATGTTAAGAAGAGAACAAAATTACCAGAACTTACTGTAAGTGTTGATGAGAAATCAAATTTTAAACAAGTGTTCAAAAGTATAAAGGTATGTAGAAGCATGTAATGTATGCTATAAGTATAGGACTGTACCATTTTTTAATCTTAAGTATATTTAAAGATTGCTTTTAATACATTTATATTTCATTTTACTGAAGTTATTCAGTTTACTCAAGTGACAGCTGTGATAAAATATAATCATAAAACACAATAATGCATCATTTAAACAACACTATTGGAGAATGAGGTATTCCGTAAGTGAATTTTCCACAGAACTGAATTTACCACTGTTATTATATAAACTTTTAAAATGTTAACCATTTTGTATGGAAACATTCCCAAAGTGTATTATAGAATTTTTCTTTGAAGGTAAACTAACACATAATCTTTCTCTGAAGATTCATGGTTACCATTATTTTAATTTTATTTGAAGTACTGAGGGTCAAATTCAGGGCTTTGTGAGTGCTAGCAAAGTGCTGTACCACTGAGCTAATCTCCAGACCTTTTAATTTTTTTAAATTTTGAGACAAGGTCTCACTAGGTTGCCTAAACTGGCCTGCAACTTGTGATCTTCCTGCCTCATCCTCCCAAGTAATGTGCCACACCCAGTTCATGGTTATCTTTATTAGAAATGTTTAAGTAGGCTAAATACATGTATATGGCTCTTCTTAATAGATGGTTAATGATGGTGACTTTTGTTCATTCTTTCCCTAATATGAAAATGCTACTATGAAAAACTACAAACAGAACTGGTACACTTCTGATAGGTCCCCTGTTTTTTCCTGCTGTCAACTGTTTCTTCTAGTTATTAAATGTACATCAATCTTACATAATAAGTTGTGTAATTTGTTAAAATCAAATTTAGATTTAAAAGATGTGACTACTCTGTGGAATGCACAGCACTATTCTAGGTGCTGGGGAGGGGAAGAAATATAAAATTCTTAAACAATTATAAAAACTGTATGGTCCATCCCTAAGAAACAACCCTGCTGACTTGATATTCAAGACACTAGGTCATCACCATGGTGTGAAATGCCATTTTTTTTGTTTCTAATAATGTCTTAAATTTTGCAAAATTACAATTTTTAAATATCAGTATATTGAGATAATCAGATTTGTGTTCTGATAAACATTCTTTAGTGGGCCTAAGTCTTGGAAATATCTCCTATGAAAATATTACCAGCCACGTGAGTCTCAGTAGGTAATACTAAGAACTGCTTGACGATATAAAGTCGATATGCATTTGACAGCTTTTGGTGAACTACAATCTCACTTCAAATTTTTATCTTGCAATCTGAATGGTTGAGTATGTCAGAAATCTAGTTTTGCTAATTCCTAGGGTCATATAATCTAATAACTACTAAAATCGGGACTGTAATGTTTGCTCTATATATGAATATCAAACATTCAAGGACTAGATTGACAAAGCTACATTTTACAATGGATATTCTATATCCTTCCTCCTGGCAAGGTCTCTATCTTGACCTTCAGTAATGCCACATTCTTTTAAATTCTCCAGTATTTCTTGACTACTTAATTTCCATCATCTGACAATTTCTATACCTCAAACTCTATCTGGTGGCTTCAAAGATTCCCTTGGCTTCAAATACCATGTTTTGTAGTTCAAACTTCTCTCTCAAATTCCTGACTCATGTTATCTATTTAAAGGGCATCACGTTTGAAAATAGGAGAATCTCAAATTCAACAAACAAAAAAACTTGATCTGTTTTGTTGATTTTATTGTATGGCTTATCAAGTTTTGTCTTGCCCTGCTAGATTTCAGCTCCTTAATACTATAGGCATTTCTTACATAATTTATTTACCACATCTAATCTCCCCTTGGGAATCTCCAATATTTTATTGGATCAATTTATGAACAAAACAAAGGAATTCTGAAGAATCTCTTCCGATTATACTTTTACTGATTCTTACTGTAGACTTTTAGGTGCAGGACTGTATAAATGCGTCTTATATTTAACCCCAATCTTTCACCAGGTATCACCTTCTTCCTGAAGGAACCTCTGGACTAGGATGGAGCACCACAGTCCTAATGACCCGTCCTGCTCACACCTTGTATTTGCTTCTATAATACTTCATCAGTGTACATCGTTGATTTGTTACCCATTAGGTTGTACCTTTCTTGATGGCAAAACACATTACATGTGTTTTTTTATACCTTCACTAAGCAAAGCTTGCAGACCCAATGAGTTAATAGGCCACATAGGTCTCAAAAAGCCATTAAATTGTTCTATTAAAAAAAAAAAAGAAAAGAAAAAGAAACACTAGGAGGCTTCATTTCTATGGCAACATTTAGAAAGTTGCCACTGGATGGCCAAGATTAAAAAAGCAATCTACCTTTCTTCCCAGTATACAGTGCTACTACTTATATAATCAGCCTACGATTTATATCCTTTAAGTTTTTCCCTCAAGGAAGTCTACATAAAAATGAGGAATATGGGGAAAAGTCCAGCCCCGTCGCAACGTGTCCCAATCCCCCAAATAGTCCAACAGGCACCGTTCCTACAAGCAGCTAAAACCAACCCCAGGACATGCGCATGCGCAGCAAGCCAAAGCAGCTGTAGGCTGAGACTGCTCTCTGAGCAAACGTAATCCTGGACAACACGGCTCCGCCCTTCTCAAGATGGCGCTGCTCGCAATGCGGAAGGCGCGTGGGTGCTGGAGCTTCATCCGGGCATTTCATAAAGGACCTGAACCGGCTCCCGCTCCACAGGTAACCGAAGTAGGTCCTTCTCTCACCAGCTTCCCATCCTGCGAACTCCCTCTTATCCTCCTTCCTCTCCCTGTACTAATTTCTCTCTTCCCGCTGTCTCGGGAGAGTACTGGGCCATTTCTCTTCTAAAACCCACTCGCCTATCACTGCCCGCCTACTTGGAGCGTGGAAACGTTGCAAAGATACGTGATGACGCAAGGTTCCCGGTGAAAGGAGCGCGCAGCCGCCTGACCATGTGACCTCATCTTGAATCCCGCGACCCTTGCGCGGCGGCTGTTACTAGGCAACGCGGGAAGCCAGTTCTTAGTGTGACGTTGTTAGAGAATACACCTGGTCATTCTAAGACTTCTCTCTTGCTCGTCGTTCCATGCTTTTACCTTTCTTTTCCCATCTGCAAGGCAGGAGCCATGGGAGAGCTTCGAGAAGGCGTCTTGTTAGAACTGGGTGGTTTAAATGGGTGCAGCCGCTTGTCCTTCTCTGGCAGTGTGGTATTTTTAAAAAACAGTGATCTTGCATTGTCATTCCTTCTTGGTGATCCTTAGGTCAGGCTTTGTGAAAGAATATACGGAAGTTGCCACAATGAGTCGTCTTATCCTTCGCCTGACTGCACTACTATTACTATCATTCTAGTTGAGTTAAGAGCAGGGCACGACTTTCCGTCAATCCGTATTTGGAATTTTCTCCTGAGAAAAACAGAGTTGGGATTACCGTTTCATTCATTCAGACATTATTAAATGTCTTCTAAATGCAGGCTCAGTAGTAAACACTTTGACAACACGCTATCTATGGAGATATATTCTGAAATCTAGAGGGGAACGTGGGATTCTGTGATTATTAGGTAATTTCCTGACACCTTGCATATCCATTGTCATTAATGCGTAGGTGTGCCGTGAGGGTGTCACAGTGTAACCAGTGTGTTCGAAAGAGCACTAGATCAGAAGTTAGGAAACAACAGCCGAGGTCTCATCTGCCACATGCTAGCTGTGTGCATGACAAGTCACAATCCCCTGGGCTTATTTTCTTTAACAGATCAAGTGGAATAAGAATTGGACTGATTGACATGTTAACGTACTTTGGAGCTTTGGAAAATCTATGACTACATGAAAAAGTCAAAACAAAGCCAGTGAGAGTAAATGAAAACAAAGATTTAAGTTCAATTTATTTTTCTAATCATCCCATAAATTGCTTAATTTACCAAACTTCTCATTTCTTCATTGATTTTGAACCTTAGAATTCTTGTAAGGATAAAGAACATAATATACTGAAAGCTCTTTGTCTGCAAACAACTCTTCAAATGTTATTTTAAATTTTAGGAAGCAATGTTAGGTAAGAATTGATTCTAATTTACTTCATCAAATATTCTCTTTGAAGTTTGGGAGTTCGATTGTTCAGAACCAGAACTAATTGACAATTTATAGATAATGGCATATTAAAATGACTAAACCTTAGACACCAACTTTCCTTCATTCCAAACTAAGAATTAATTGTGCCTTGAGAGTACAGAATCAAAGAAAGAAGAAAAACAAATTAGAGCCCACTAATGATTGCCCAAGGAAAATTAGGACACTAAATCATTATAAATGCTAATGAAAAAAAAATCAAACCTCTACTATAGTTTCAGTAGCATTTATGAATAGGGTTATTCTTAAAGTTAATCTACTGTTAATCTAGATTGTTTCAAGATGTAGAATTTCAAGAACAATATTAGTGTTTCCAAATCTGTAATTTAGCTTTGAGTATGAATGAAATGTATTTTTCTTAAGTGTATAACTATATATCATTTCAGTTATTTAAAATGATGGTTTGAGAGATTAATGCAGTCTTTTGAAAGACTAATTGAAAAAAGATAACAATAGTATTCATAATATGATTACAATTTTATGTTTACATATAAATACTTAATTAAATATATACACTGAAAAAAAAGTTGGAAGGAAACACCATTTTTAACTTTTTTGTTGTGTTTTGATCTTCCTAAATAGTGGATTAAAAGTAATTTCAGTTTTCTTTAAGCATTATTTTTCACATGTTCTATATTGAATATATATTACTTTTATAACCAGAAAAATTGAAATCATAAATCTCCTTGCAAACCTGTAGTCATTAATACTGTTTGTGGTATTTTAAGTTTCTAAGAGAGATACTTGTCCTATGGTGCTGTTATTAAAATGGCCTCAGAAAGGACTACTAAAAATTTATGGCCACTTTTCCTATGTGTATCTTCTTTTTCTCTCAAAAGCCTTCTTTGAAGTCAAAGGGATTTTGTGAACAGATGCAGAAATATGTGACGGAAGAATTGGATTCTTAAGCCAGATGCATTAGACATTTTTATGATACCTCATAACCTTTGTAAAAAACAAAAAATATTTTTCAAGTGTACATTACAATAGAAAGAAATGTGTATTTATCATATGGGTGATTTTATCAGTAACCAAGAGATAGATAAGTTACTTGCTATTGGGTTTGGGCTGTGTACCTACCCCCTGAGGTAGAAAGCAAAAGTGGATGAATGATAGTGGTGCTCTATTAGAAGCTACCACTGATAGAGTATTGTGATTCTTAAGTTGTTTTAATGTTTTGGAGGATGTTTATTTTTTATTTATTTTGTGGGTATTGGGGACATAACCCAGGGGCACTTTACCACTGAACAACATCTCCCAGACCTATTTAGTTTTTATTTTGAGAATGGGTCTCACTAAATTGCTTAGGGGCTTGCTAAGTTGCTGAAGCTGGCCTTGGATTTGTTATTCTCCTATCTCAGCCTCCCAATTGTCTTTTGTATAAAAAAACAAAACAAAAACTTGGCATTGGGGATCTTTATGTTAAATGCAGGATTTTGTTCAGGTTAGGGAGAGAAGGGCTGGGATGTATCTCAGTGGTAGAGCTGTACAAAAAGCCCTGAGTTTCAGCTCCTGTACTGAAAAAAAGAAAAGGTGTGTGTATGTGTGCCTGTGTGTGTGTGTGTGTGGGGGGGGGGGGTGTCCAGGAATAACAGTGTATGACACCATACTCATTGTGGGATATCTGCAATTTATATGAAAATGGTTTATTTTGCCAGGTGTTGCTTGACAGAAAACTGTTGAAATCTGACAAGATGAGAGTAGTCACAGAGTCAGAGGAATGAAAACCTGACATGTTTTATTTAAATGCTGGTGGCATTAGGTAAATTTAAGCCTGTCATCGTTGGGCAAACACAAGATACATAATTCTTTAAGCATTAATTCATGATTGTATTGTGCAAAGAGTGAAATATTGTTGGTTAGTGAATTTTTGCAAGAATATTTATAATCATTCAGCTGAAGTATAAAATGTCCACATTGTAGTGCAGTTGAACAAAATGCTTCAATATTAGCCATCATTAGCCTAGGTTTGGTCAATAGTAACATACTATTTCTGCAATTAATGATCTGTAAGTATAGCCCTTACATGAAGAAATCATGTCTTAAAATGTCATTATATTAAATATCTGATCTTGTGTTTAATTTTCATTACAAGTCTTTTTAAATTTTTTTTTATTTTAACATAATTTCAGACTTATAAAGTTGCAAAATTAGCTCAGAAAATTCCTGCACACCCTTCACCAAGTTTTGTCTTGCATAATCATAACATAATTAGCAAAACCAAAAAATTAACATTGGTACAGTACTATTAATTCAGCTATAGACCTAATTTACATTTCACTGGTTTTTCCACTAGTCATTTTCCTGGTCCAGGATCAAATCCAGGATCCTATATTGCATTTAGTTGCCATGTCTTCTCCACTCTGTGACACTTTCTTCAGTCTTTCATCACTTTTGAAGACTGTAGGCTAATTGTTTTGTAGAATGTCTCTCAGTGGATTTTTCCATTGATTCCTCATGATTACATTGAGCTTATGGATTTTGGCAAGAATACACAGAAGAGATGTTGTTCATAAAAAGGCTTTACAATAGGTATTAAACATGAGGAAACAGCCTTTGGTTAAGTAACTCATTCAGTGTAGCACAGTTAATGAGTGATGAATTGGGATGGTAAATTTTATTTTGGGGATTTAGTTCTATATTTTGCAATTACTGTTTATTGTAGGTTTCTGTGATCCTACGGACATTTAATTGTGGTAGTGTTCTCAGTGATATTTCCCTTAGCTCTTCTCTGTCCAGGCAACACACAACATGAGCTAACCAGAAGGGAAACCTTTCAAGAGCTGCCATAGCCATCCGAGAGTTGTGCTAGTTGATAACTGCCAGTTTGATCAGGTTTATTTCATCTTTGTGTTTTTCTTAAATTTGTGTCGTATGAATCTATGACTCCTTTTAATCTCAGTCAGTGAATCCATTTGTCTAAAATGCTCTTTTGATTGGTTGTTCATGTAAACTTAGTTTATATAAGTACTTGTATTTCAGTTTTTTGAAAAATATCTCTGAGCAACAAATTGAAACTGATAGTGACTGCTGAAAATATAGAGGAGCAGTAGATAAATGCTGAAGATTTATGCTAGCATCTCTGATGGCATCCACAGCCAGGAAGTGCTGGAGAGAGTGGTGCTGCTGACCCCAACTCTTTCTCACTATGTCTTTTGCATAACTGCAGGTTACAGAAGAATTGTCTGTGGACGCTGAGACAAATACATGTGCGAATCGTGTGTGCGCGAGCACACACACACAGAGACACACACTGTGTGCACCTACCTACTGAGGTGCAAAGCAAAAGTGGATGAATCACAGTGGTGCTCTGTTAGAAACTGCCACTGATTGAGTATTCTTAAGTTGCTTTAATGTTTTGGAGAATTTTAAAAAACAATTCTCTTGCATAAAAAACTTATTTCTCTATATCTTTCAGAAAAGGAACACTTAGCTAGTGCCTTTTATATGCCAAAGCCTCATGACATGTGCTATGCATGATTTATCTTCTTCTTTCAATGATCTTATAAATAGTATTTTACCTATTTTATAAAATAAGGGGGGGGGAAGCTAAAAGAGATTAGGGAACTTTTTCAAGGCACAGAGCTAGTAAAGAGCAGT